GCTTGTCCTTCAGGACTTACATGCTGCCGTTCTTTCCATGGCGGATGGTATCGGAGACGGACGGTCTGCCAGGATAGCATGTTTTGCCGTCTGGAAATTCAAGTCCTGCACATCATCGAACTTTTCCCAGGAATAAGTTCCTCTTCACAGCTTTCGCCTCCCCTGCGCGCTTTTTCGTTGCGCATTTGAGATGAAGCGTCCAGTCCAGGTAATGAATAAAGTCTTCTCGTTTGCAGCTAGTTGATCCTCTGGTGTTGGCCTCTGACCCTGAGGCGGCAGGCTGGCCCTTCGTTGACCTCAGCAATCTACGGAATCACAAAGTAAGGCGTTTTTAAAAGGCTTACGCTCGGTTTCCACATCAGCGGACTTCACTGCGATCTGTCCAAAGCATCGTAAGACGTCGTTGGCAAGTTTTTTCCTTCTGTCCTCAGAAGGTAATGTTGCTCTTTTGATTCCCTGGTTGCTTCTGCCTGCAGGACTTCGCGTTTACTCCTTCATTTACAGCGGTGGGTGCGAACAACAGACTTTACCCTGTTGCTACTTTAGTCGGAAGATTGCCGCTTTTCCCTGGCAGACTTTCGTTTAATGATTCTGTGAATCAGATCGCGTTCTGCCAGAACATCAACACTAGCCTTATTGCTTATTTAATGTCTACATCTTAGCCTGAGCAGAATAGCTTCCATTCGCAGAAGTTGAAAATTCCGGATCTCTGGCGCTTCACTTCAAGAGTTTAGTTATGCCGAGTTCGTACGTTGCGGCCTGATTAACTCCTTCCTGCTCTTTCCTTGTGAGTGAGGATATTTTCCAGTTCGTGATTGTTAGCTCCCTCTGCCGGTATTATTGCCGTGGAACCGTACTATAGTGGCATTGCGATGTTTATCTTTTCCGTTCAGAATGGGTGGTGACATCGTTGATGACTGATATCTTCATCTTTTTCTTGTCAGTGTTCCACAGCCGTCAAGTTATTGCTTGTTTCCAACTGCCAGAAGAGGTGAAAGAGGTTCTGATCGCAGATTTTATGCAGTCTACCTCAGTTCTCCCACAGCACGTACATCCCTTAATAACCCTGGGGACGACAGAGATGACATAGCGTTCGATAATGGCAATACGATTTGGAAGAGTGGCGAATTTTTACGGAAGAACTCGATTGCGCGATTTATGATTGCCAGTCATCCTCATTTCTCATTAGGGCTTGGGACCGCCATCGACAGAGTTCTAATTCTGTCGGAAAATCTTTCATATTTCATGACGAACGTTAACGAATTACTGTCATAATTATCATAATTATATGATATTCGTTTAGTGCCGTGATGGAATCTTGGACGGAACGCATCCGGTGTCGAAAGAGGAGGCGTTTGTTTTCGCCGGCTACCAGTGCCAGATTCAGTTTGGAGATTTCGTAGAAACCAAACATCGAAATGGATTTCTTGAGTAATATTTTTGTTTTTATATACATGTATGGTGTGATGGGAATAAGGGAATTCTCAAGCATTTCTCGATGGTGTTTGTTTGTACGTTCTACTGTAAACAACAGTTTATGTCTGTTAAATTTATTGAGCGGAGCCTTTCTGATATAATTTAACCTTCTTTTGCCTGAATTTGGTATTCCGGTTGGTAAGCTGCTGGGTATCCGTTCTCCCATGCAAAGACTATTAAAAGTTGATGTCTCTTTTTGAACAATCCGGTTCAGAAAACGCTCAGACCAACCGTTTACTCCGGTCGGTGAATTTTTTTAGGTGGTAACCGAAAACAGGAGATCAGTATGTCATATAAAGAGCGTAGGTGCATGTCTTAGTTCGGAAAGGAACCGATCGTTATGCGATTCGATGAAAGTGCATATGCATGGCCATGAGAAACCAGATATGTTCAACTTATGCAAACGGTTCAGGATCATGTTTCAACAGACTTGCATATGCCATATGTAACGTTAGTGCGTTTTGTAATAAGAGACCGTTTCCTCTTGTTTAAAGTCAGGGGGTTTGGTTTATCTAGGCAAGTCATAGCAGTGACAGCAACAGTCAGTTGTATTCTCGAGGACGTTTATGATATAGCTTATGTTCCGAAAAGGCGGTTACAAGTTTATGGTTCTGATGATCGATCATCCGTGAACCTAAATTTTAAAACCAGTTTACTAGACGAACAGCATAGCAGCTGCAAGTCGAATTTTCGTCGGTCATTTTTTCATTCATAGTTTACTGTTGTTCACTCCTTGAGAAAAGAGATACTTAAAGATAATAGTCCTGTAATTTTGTACATTTTCATGAACTACGACTTGTCGATTTGTTTGTGTTATAAATTTATGGTATTCAGAAAGTAATGAATAACACTTGAATAAAATGTCTGTTTTCACGTAAATTATAGTAAGGAAAGATTGCCCAAAGTAAATTTTCATACGAATAGAACAGAATACTTTTAGCATTCTGTCGAAATGTAAAAATGTTTATCGTCGATTTCAGTGACTCTGTATTTTAGCCAATTTCATGTTTTAAATTTCTTTGATTTTATTACTACTGATGTTAGGTAACGCTATGATTTTGCTATTGTTCACGTTTAGCTCCTAGATGGACATGGTCGTAGTTTCCTCAAGTGTTGAATAGTCGTTCTACTTTCTTCGTACATTCAGTTGTGAAAACCTTACCTGATCACTGACTCTTTTCAGGCTTTTAGTGATCAGGATGAAATAAAGTCAGGAACTGTGTTAAGGCGTCAAAGGTTTCTATCAAGACTGAGGAGACTGGATTAATCTTACATGCGTTAATCCAGTCTGTTGCGTTCTAAAAACGAAAATTTTATGAAAACACGGCGTATTCGTACGCAACGCATGCAAATGGGTCGGTCATCGGCTGATTAACCAATACCGACGCTTCGATTCTTGTCAGTCTTCAAGGTTGGGCAGGGTTGAATTCCGAAGTTTGTTTTTGCGATCTGCAACTGTGTTACCTTTGGAACCAAAGGTCCGCTATTAGTTTACGCTGCTGGTCAAGTAGTTTGTCAGTGACGGGCCTGATGAGGTTTATCAAATCCGTGGAAAGTTCATATCCTTTCTCACTGGTTGACATTTTTAATCATCCAATCCTGGGAACGTGTCATAAGTTTTCATAATTGAAATTCACATGAAGTTTGCCATGATGAAGATAAACATAAACACCCTCAATTCCGTTCGTGACGTACTGTGTTGTTCCTAATGGTGTTGTCGTTTGACCAATGTAGTACAACTAGTGTTGTGTGTAATTTACGGAATAAATTACACCATCGGTATTTTCATCGCCATTTATCTTTTCGTCTGCTTAAAGAGGATCTTAATTTTTCTTCTGGTTTGGAAATATGTGTTCCCGATGTGTTCCTTATTCTAACACAAGTCTTAGCGATTGTGAAATGATGGAACATGGCGAATGCAGACGGTTGCAGTCAGTGTAATCATTCGCGCTAGCGATTCGTTAGGGAAAGTCGACGTTGATTCGGTTCGTTATTGCTTTTTTCCTGAACTTTCGCTTGTTCCCCCTTTTTTTCGTAGAACTTCCTTCAGATGGTGAATTTGATGTTGAAGTTCTGCCCTTTTTTATAATCACTAAAGTATCTTCCACATGGCTCACCGTATTCTTGCAGGTGACTGATAGCTATTGACAGTCTCATTTTCAAACCTCACGAATATATTTTGGCGACGATCAGAGAAACTGTAGAATCTGTAAGTTCTGTAAGCAAAACATTGTACGCTATATATGTTATTGCTGATAAAGCCTTTATGTCTTACTCCTGAATCAACCTCCTTGTCAAGTGTCTAAGTGCTTATTAATATCCTGGAGTGTTCGTCTACTTAGATGATCACATGTTACTCAGAAAGGCGAGGACGGAGCATGTGCCTTTAAATCTGCACATGAAGGCTAAACAGATTTCTATCTGTGATTTCCATTTGGACCTGGCTACACACTGCGGTTGGTTTCATGCATGTAGTAGCGATTTAAAGGACCGTCTCCCGACGCGGTCGTCGTATTGTGCTCTTTTGGATTGCCTATTGTTTGTTTAAATGCAAAGTCAAATCCCTCGAGGACGTCATTTCACTTGCGTTAGGATTATACCATGAAAAGAACTATGGTCTTATTACTAGAATAGTAATTTAATACTGTTTTATGCTTGAGATTGTATGATGTGGTTGCTTACGTGAAACATGCTGCGAAGGTAAATTTTTTTCTTAAGTCCTCCTATGTATCAATATCAAGTAGAATTTAAACCATTAAATTTAAGTTTTATCCTGATACGTTTGACCCAAGTTAAAGTCGTTTGTTTCTAGCCGTGGTAAAGAAATTTTAATTTTCTTGTGATCGCAGTACAGAAAACAGTTTTGTTTAGTTTACAAGAATTTCTTCCCAAGGAGTACGTCCGACTGAAAGATGCAGAGAAGCGCATATTTCTGGTAGTGTAAAGCACGATGCCACCTTACGTGTGTCTGTCTTACTTGTGCATTG